GTTTTTTTTTGGTTTTTTGGGGTTTTTGGGGGGGGGTTTTGTTTTTTTTTTTTTTGGGGGGATTTGGGGGTTTTTTGGGGGGGTTTTGGGGTGTTTTTTTGGGGGGGTTTTTTGGGGTGTTTTTTGGGGTTTTTTTTGGGTTTTTTGGGTTTTTGGGGTGTTTTTTGGGGTTTTTTTGGGGTTTTTGGGTTTTTAGGGGGTTTTTTGGGGTTTTTTTTGCGTTTTTTTTGCGTTTTTTGGGGTTTTTTTTGGGGTTTTTTGGGTTTTTTCATATATATATGAACACAACTAAATAAAATCCTATAAGACAACCACAAAACCCATTTAAAAATCAGATTTAAATGAGATTTACCTGCAACCTTCCATCCAGAGTCCTCTGGATGGTGACACATTTACTGGGGTGCGCCCCGTTGGTGGTGATGGCCGTGATCAGCGAATCCAACTCGTCCTTTTTCTCCTTCAGCTTCTTCACCAGACTCTCGATGGCGCGCTTGGCGAAGGTTTCGCTTTCGCCGCCCTGACGGTGACACATCAGACTGTGCACGATGCTCAGACACGCGTCGTTGCTGGTCGGGGTGTTGGCCAGAGACATACTGTCCATTTATTTGGATTTTTAAGGGTTAAAAGTTGATTTTTTCGGGGATTTTTCCGTGCCGAAGAATAGAAACGATCGCGGCGGATTGTCCGTTTTTTGGTAAAACTTAAAAGGAAAAAAATAATAAAATTATTTTTTTATTTTATTTCTTTATTTAGTATTTTATTTATTTTATTTATTTTATTTTTTTATTTTTTTATTTTATTATTTAAAAAAAAAAACCCAAACAAAAAAACCCCCAAAAAATCCAAAAAAAACCCACAAAAAACCCCCCAAAAAACCCCGCAAAAAAACCCCAAAAAAACCCCGAAAAAACCCCCCTAAAACAACCCACAAAAACCTCAACAAAAACCGCCAAAAAACAAAAACAAAAAAAAACCCAAAAAAAGGCCAAAAAACACCAAAAACCCAAAAGAAACCCCAAAAGCCCAAACAACCCCAAGAAAAACCCCCCAAAAACCAAAAAAACCTCCAAAAAAACTCCAAAAAACCTAAAAAAACCCCAAAAAAACACGAAAACACCCGAAAAAAACCCCCAAAACCCCAAAAAAACCCCTAAAAATCCCCCAAAAACACCCTAAAAAAACAAAAAAAAAACCCCCCCAAAACCCCCAAAAAAACCGCCAAAAAACCCAAAAAACCCAAGAAACCCTCAAAAACCCCAAAAAAACCCCCCAAAAAACGCCAGAAAAACCCCAAGAAAACCACAAAAACCCCCCAAAACCCGCAAAAAAACCCCAAAAAGACCCAAAAAAACCCAAAACACCCCCAGAAAAACAAAAAAAAAAAAACCCAAAAAACCGCAAAAAAGTCCAAACCAGCCAATAAAGGTACAGAAAAACACACCAAAAAATCCCCAAAAAAACCCGAAAACAACCCTCAAAAAACCCCCAAAAGAACCTTTAAAAACCAAAAAAACCCCAAAAAACCCTCAAAAACTCCAAGAAACCCCCCAAAACCCCCCCAAAACCCCAAAAAACCCACAAAAAACGCTGAAAACCCACAAAAACCCCAAAAAAACCCTTAAAAACAACCCTCAAAAAACCCAAAATAACCCCCCAGAACAAAGCCAAAAAAACTCCAAAAAAGCTGCAAAAAAGCCCCCGAAAACGGCCCAAAAAACCTGCAAAAAAAACCCTCAAAAAACTAAAAAAAAAACACCCAAGAAACCCCAATAAACTTGAGCTGGGACAGGAGCTGTGAGCTGGGACAGGAGCTGTGAGCTGGGACAGGAGCTGTGAGCTGGGACAGGAGCTGTGAGCTGGGACAGGAGCTGTGAGCTGGGACAGGAGCCCTGAGCTGGGACAGGAGCTGTGAGCTGGGACAGGAGCTGTGAGCTGGGACAGGAGCTGTGAGCTGGGACAGGAGCTGTGAGCTGGGACAGGAGCTGTGAGCTGGGACAGGAGCCCTGAGCTGGGACAGGAGCCCTGAGCTGGGACAGGAGCTGTGAGCTGGGACAGGAGCCCTGAGCTGGGACAGGAGCTGTGAGCTGGGACAGGAGCCCTGAGCTGGGACAGGAGCCCTGAGCTGGGACAGGAGCTGTGAGCTGGGACAGGAGCTGTGAGCTGGGACAGGAGCTGTGAGCTGGGACAGGAGCCCTGAGCTGGGACAGGAGCCGTGAGCTGGGACAGGAGCCCTGAGCTGGGACAGGAGCCCTGAGCTGGGACAGGAGCTGTGAGCTGGGACAGGAGCTGTGAGCTGGGACAGGAGCCCTGAGCTGGGACAGGAGCCCTGAGCTGGGACAGGAGCTGTGAGCTGGGACAGGAGCCCTGAGCTGGGACAGGAGCCCTGAGCTGGGACAGGAGCTGTGAGCTGGGACAGGAGCTGTGAGCTGGGACAGGAGCTGTGAGCTGGGACAGGAGCCCTGAGCTGGGACAGGAGCTGTGAGCTGGGACAGGAGCCCTGAGCTGGGACAGGAGCCCTGAGCTGGGACAGGAGCTGTGAGCTGGGACAGGAGCTGTGAGCTGGGACAGGAGCCCTGAGCAAAAAAAACCCCAAAAAACCTTCCAAAATTCCCCAAAAAGTCACTCCAAAAACCAAAAAAAACCACTCCAATAAATCCCAAACCAAACCCCATGAAACCACCAAAAACCACCAAAATAAACCCCCAAAAACCCCCAAAAAACAAGAAATACCACTCCAAAAAATCCCAAAAATACCCCCAAGAAACCCCCAAAAAACAAACAAAAAAAAAAAACGAAAAACCCTAAAAATACCCCTAAAAAACAAACAAAAAAACCCCCAAAAAACACAAAAAAACCCCACAAAAACCTCAAAAACCCCAAAATAACACACAAAAAACCCCAAAAACCCTCCAAAAAACCCCAAAAATCATCAAAAAAAAAACCCCAAAAAAACTCATAAAAAACCCAAAAACCCGAAAAACACAAAAACCACCCTAGAAAAAAAACCCCAAAAAACCACCAAAAAGACCCAAAAAATCCTCAAAAAAAACCCCAAAAAACCCCATAAAAAACCCAAAAAACCCCAAAAACACGCAAACCACTGCAGAAAAAAAACTCCAAAAACCCTCAAAAAAACCCCAGAAAACCCTAAAGAAACCAAAAAAATCCCCCAAAAAACCCAAAAAACCCTCAAGAAAAATTCCCAAAAAATGTCCCAAAAAACCCTAAAAAACACCAAAAAACCCCCAAAAAAACCCCAAAAAACCCCAAAAAAAACCCCAAAAAACCCAAAAAAACCTGAACTCGGACAGGAGCTGTGAGCTGGGACAGGAGCCCTGAGCTGGGACAGGAGCCCTGAGCTGGGACAGGAGCTGTGAGCTGGGACAGGAGCTGTGAGCTGGGACAGGAGCTGTGAGCTGGGACAGGAGCTGTGAGCTGGGACAGGAGCTGTGAGCTGGGACAGGAGCTGTGAGCTGGGACAGGAGCTGTGAGCTGGGACAGGAGCTGTGAGCTGGGACAGGAGCCGTGAGCTGGGACAGGAGCTGTGAGCTGGGACAGGAGCTGTGAGCTGGGACAGGAGCTGTGAGCTGGGACAGGAGCCCTGAGCTGGGACAGGACCCCTGAGCTGGGACAGGAGCTGTGAGCTGGGACAGGAGCTGTGAGCTGGGACAGGAGCTGTGAGCTGGGACAGGAGCTGTGAGCTGGGACAGGAGCCCTGAGCTGGGACAGGAGCTGTGAGCTGGGACAGGAGCCCTGAGCTGGGACAGGAGCTGTGAGCTGGGACAGGAGCTGTGAGCTGGGACAGGAGCCCTGAGCTGGGACAGGAGCTGTGAGCTGGGACAGGAGCCCTGAGCTGGGACAGGAGCCCTGAGCTGGGACAGGAGCCCTGAGCTGGGACAGGAGCCCTGAGCTGGGACAGGAGCCCTGAGCTGGGACAGGAGCCCTGAGCTGGGACAGGAGCCCTGAGCTGGGACAGGAGCTGTGAGCTGGGACAGGAGCTGTGAGCTGGGACAGGAGCTGTGAGCTGGGACAGGAGCTGTGAGCAAAAAAAACCCAAAAAACCTTCCAAAATCCGCCAAAAAGTCACCAAAAACCAAAAATACCACTCCAAAAAATCCCAAAAAAAACCCCAAGAAACCCCCAAGAACCACCAAAATAAACCCCCAAAAGAACCCCAAGAAAACCCCAAAAACCCCAAAAAAACCGCCAAGAAAACCACCAAAAAGCAGAAAAACCGCCTTAAAATCCAAAAAAAAAAAACCCCAAAAAATCCAAAAAAACCCCAAAAAAACCCCAAAAAACCTTCCAAAAATGCACGAAAAGTAACCAAAACCCAAAAATAGCACTCCAAAAAATCCCAAAAAAACCCCAAGAAACCCTGAAAAATCACCAAAATAAAACCCAAAAAACCCCAAAAACCCCAAAATAACACACAAAATCCCTTAAAAAACCTCCAAAAAAACTCAAAAAAAAACGTCCAAAAAAACCCCAAAGAAAGCTCAAAAAATCCCATAAAATCCTCAAAAAAACCTCAGAAAAATCCGCAAAAAAACCCATAGAAAAGACTAAAAACGCCAAAAACACCCAAACCACCCCAGAAGAAAAACTCAAAAAACTCCCAAAAAAACCCAAAAACCCTAAAAAAACCAAAATAATCCCTCAAAATCCCCAAAAAACCCTAAAAAAATCGCCAAGAAAACAAAAAAAAACCCCAAAAAACAACCGAAAAAAATTCCCAAAAAACGCCCCTAAAAACCCTAAAAAACCAAAAAAAACCCAAAAAATGCCAAAAAAACCCCAAAAAAACCTGACCTCGGACAGGAGCTGTGAGCTGGGACAGGAGCCCTGAGCTGGGACAGGAGCTGTGAGCTGGGACAGGAGCTGTGAGCTGGGACAGGAGCTGTGAGCTGGGACAGGAGCTGTGAGCTGGGACAGGAGCCCTGAGCTGGGACAGGAGCTGTGAGCTGGGACAGGAGCTGTGAGCTGGGACAGGAGCCCTGAGCTGGGACAGGAGCTGTGAGCTGGGACAGGAGCTGTGAGCTGGGACAGGAGCCCTGAGCTGGGACAGGAGCCCTGAGCTGGGACAGGAGCCCTGAGCTGGGACAGGAGCTGTGAGCTGGGACAGGAGCTGTGAGCTGGGACAGGAGCCCTGAGCTGGGACAGGAGCTGTGAGCTGGGACAGGAGCTGTGAGCTGGGACAGGAGCTGTGAGCTGGGACAGGAGCTGTGAGCTGGGACAGGAGCCCTGAGCTGGGACAGGAGCTGTGAGCTGGGACAGGAGCCCTGAGCTGGGACAGGAGCTGTGAGCTGGGACAGGAGCTGTGAGCTGGGACAGGAGCTGTGAGCTGGGACAGGAGCTGTGAGCTGGGACAGGAGCTGTGAGCTGGGACAGGAGCCCTGAGCTGGGACAGGAGCCCTGAGCTGGGACAGGAGCTGTGAGCTGGGACAGGAGCTGTGAGCTGGGACAGGAGCTGTGAGCTGGGACAGGAGCTGTGAGCTGGGACAGGAGCTGTGAGCTGGGACAGGAGCTGTGAGCTGGGACAGGAGCTGTGAGCTGGGACAGGAGCCCTGAGCTGGGACAGGAGCCCTGAGCTGGGACAGGAGCTGTGAGCTGGGACAGGAGCCCTGAGCTGGGACAGGAGCTGTGAGCTGGGACAGGAGCCCTGAGCTGGGACAGGAGCCCTGAGCTGGGACAGGAGCT